GGACATTTCGTTTGTTTTCAGGGCGTGTTCTAAGCTGGCTAGGTAATCTTTGTAGGATGCGTCCTCGACATTGAAGTTGAGCCCTTTCATTAGCAGTTCTTGTTCGGCTGTATTGAGTTGGCGGCCAGATAAGTTCTTGATCCAACCAATGGAACCGCCCGACTGAATACTAAATCGCGGTCAAAGGTCACCCCCGGCTACCAGCACGTATATCAACACACGCGTAACACTACTGAACGCACAACCACTAACCACCGCTACGTGAGCTACCGACATTCTCTTCTATAGAAAATCTCTTAGGTATGCGTAATAAATGTAACGGTGAAGAACTCGGTATGAATTGATCATGAGTAGTTCTGTGGAATGCTGCTCGACCACTGCCTATAAGTGTAAATCAGAAATATCGATTTTGAAAGGCATCTTTTCCCTGATTAGCTCTCAATATGATAGCAGTGCATTTATGGTGCGCAATTTAGTCAGTTCGAGAAGCTAATAACTACGCAAAATACCCTTAGCTTTCCCGATGTCTACAAACTACGACAACTAGCTTACTGGGGCAATCACATCAAAAATTCCAGTAAACTGGTTTCTGCATCTACTGCCTCAGCGGAAGCATGCCGTTCCGGCCGCTTTGGACAAAATACTGAGCGTATCCGAGGCTTAGACACAATGTAGTTTCCATCTTGGAACATATTCCAAGACAACTTACAGAATTGTTATGGTGCTTGCACTCAATATTTGATAAAGCTGCTAGTGCAGTCAAACTAGGAAAATTGGTGGAATATAACGAACACCTTTGAACACTGATCAAAAACATATATCATAAATTTACTTCGTTCATCCAACCAATGTCTGCATGAGTTCTAATGAGCACAACAAACAACTTAGGTAGGCACAATTACGCACAATTACGTCTAAACTGTCCAAGAAAGTCCTGACACAAGTTGCGGTCTATCTCAGCGAAATTGGGTCAGATGGAGTGACCGGGAATCTGGTCCTAACCTCTCTCTGGCGGACGAACGGAATCAGCCATCCTCCTGGTTCCTTTTCTGTTGTGTTGCACACGTATCTTCTGGTCTTTCCCAAGAATGTCTTGTACTTTGCTATCCTCCACTCAAAATATACCATCAACTCACGTGAATCCACACTGACAAGTCAAAAATATACTAGTCAATGGCCGGAAGCGTGACATCGGGCGTCCCGTATTGGCCGGCTGATCGATTTTATCACTAAAGTAGGTAACCACACTCTTTAAAATCACATATAGTACATCTTTAGGTCTATTGGAATGCGAAGAGCTAGAAATCATCGTGGCTTACTAGGGTCAAGGAGCTCATAGTGCTGCCACTGAATGGCAAAAGTCGCGTTATCTGTTAGATCCATTTTGGTTGATACTCGTCCATCAACAGGATAGCAACTTATTCCGGCGTGATGTTCTGATGTGCTTTTTTTTGATGCTGCTCAAAGATGTAGACTCCTCTAACTCTTCTGACTATTTTTGTCCAGAAAATGGATGCCCCTCTCTTCTCTTCCTTTTCACTCTTTATCAGGACACTGTTCCTCAACGGTGGTAGATTAACACATACTACTGGTGTGTTGTTACTTCAAGTCTCTTGATAGTTCTTCTCTGGAAAAGGGAGCTTATCTCATTTGCTCTACTACTTACCAGGACAATCTTCGCCCTTGGTTGGATGGTATTCACAACTCTTAATCTTGTCGATGGTGACAATATAATGGTAATAAAAATGATGGAGGAAGTGGACGCGAAACCATTAGGAACATTAGTCAACAGACTTCACATGGAGTGTTCCTTTAAGGTATGCTAGGGCGTGCTGGTGAACCCAGTGTAAATGGATGAACATGGGACTGAAGTATTTTTGATCGATTTCCAAGGCTTTTCTATGGCTACAACCAGCCTTCTCTAATATATGGGTTAATTTCATAGTTATGTACACGACACTTTCATTGTGTTAGCCAATCCAGTTTTTATAATTCTGTGCTCGAAATTTCCATATCCTGTCGACTTTACACATCACAGATCATTCATGCGTATGACGGAACACATTCACACGACAAAACTGATCGTGGCTTCAGGTCAGTTTCATGCTACTCCTAGGTTTCCCAAACTGATAGATTCCAATATCGGAGAAGGTCCACCGAAGAGTAAAAATAGTTTGATGGAAGCAATTCCTTTTGTGGATGATTTATAACGCATATCTGTTCCACTCTACTCAGGGCGAATCAACTCTGCTTGACTCGGCTGTAATCTCCCATCAACTCAAGTCTTATCCGTGCTGGAACTGTTGCGTGCCATATCCCGCTTATCCAAATGTCTCGGGCGCTTTTGGCCTACTGTGTTTCTAAGTAGCGAAATATGCCACGAATCACAACCAATTTCTCATTGCTTTTTCTTGACGACTCCGGTGAAATCAAACACTGCGAGGCAACACCAGTTTAAATTCCCAAATAAACAACAGAACTTTGGAGCAAACGGCTTCTTTCGTGTGAATTCCGCTATTGCACAAGGTGATGGGTTACACGGTGTTCTTAGCCCACCTTTCCATTCGTTCTCAAAGTCATCAGTTACTAGACTAAACAGCTATCCGGTTCTTTTTTTACATGTTCTCTCATTATCCAAATTCTCTTCGACTCAGCCTCTCTCCGGCCACACTTGTTGACCTGCAAGCTGACTCTGGCTCAACATGACACCGTGCCTGAATGGGACACCTTGGTCCCGGACTGTCAGGTGGAATACACAATGCCCTCGAGCACCGTTTCTGGGGCTACAGTACGTTCAGTCAGTGTGGAACACACGGGGGTTGCAGAGAAATTCGTCAAGTACACATCCAAGTACAAATACACCGTGGACATTGATTATCATCTTGGTGAACGTAAAGAACCTCCCCTGAAAAGTATGCTTGATGACCAGGACTCGCCAGTAGAACAAGCAATCGAAGAACCACCACAGGTTCAGACCCCCGTAGATGAAGAACAAGTCGCGGAACCACAAGGAACTGAAGTGGCAGACTTGTTGGGACTTGGCCTCGGTTTTTCCGATCTTTCAGACAATCAGACGACAGATGTTAAAGAACCTCAGGAAACTCCTGGGAGTGCTGACCTCCTCTAGCATACATAATCACACCGAATTTATGCACATGCACAAAGATACCGCCCTTCAATCAAGCCCCCGGTGGTGACCGCGCCCTCATCGATCGATAAATCACTTTCCATCTTCTTCGTTCAGCAACGTTTTATAACTTTTATCCATGCTACGAGTAATCGTTCCTGTGTAATTTCATAATTATCTGTACATAACACCCAGTGACGTTCCCTTTTCCTTGAGTTGCGCAGTCAGTGAATTCGGACTTCTGCACTGTGCATCATTGCCATTGGTCTGCTTGGTGCCAATCTTATAATTTGCTTTATCATACTTCCGATCCAAAGATCACTCTTCATTTTGATTAACATGTGGTGTGCTACCTCGGGAAACCCCGGTCTCTCACATGCTCATACAGTCTGTCCATTCTTTTCCTTCCTGTATTTAATCGTACTCTTGTTCTTGACCAAGTTGTGCCCCTGCGCACTAGTCACAACCGTTGATTGAAGTGGTCCCAGGCGAAGCCCCTTCTGTGATACCCTGTATCATTTACCCGTTGATTGGTGAGCGAGACCCACCTACACACTTTTTTGTTCTAAAGCACTCACTCATTGAGATCACAAAAGCCAAGTGGTTGTTTCTGATAGCTTGCAACTTTATTTATTGCAAAATATGCTTGGATTCACTGTAACCGTCATCAGTGAGGTTTTTGTTCCTCCGATTGAGGCCAGACTGAGGCTACCATACCGAGGACGTTATTCATTACTGCCTTATATCGATAGTTGTTGTATCGAACCGGATTGCTGCAGTTTTGCAGGAATATAGCGGAAAGTTTACTTCGAGCCTTGCTGCATTACCTCATGCTGCAGTCAGTATCCTTATACATATACTGGTTTTATGTATTTGGCTTTTTCTACTCATGGCTAGCATTGGTTCATAGAATATCGCGAGTTAGTGGTAACATTCGTTGCAGTATAACAGCACGTACATGTTCCCAGTGCGGAACCCCAGCGACGGAAAGTTTGTATTCTATCTGTGTCAGTAGCGATTGTATATTATCGCACGTTATAGACGAAATAGAGACAGAGAGACCCCAGCGACGGAAAGTTTGTATTCTATCAGTGCCAGTAGCGATGATTGAACCTTTTGTGTGCTTTGCGATGCTTCGGTGGATCCAACCGACAGCTTGTTATGTTTCATGATTCATGTGGTAAGCTAACTCGTCTCGACCCGACTATTCACAGAATCCTTCTAGATCCGAATCTCAAGTCTGGTGCCACTTTACTTTCTGTCCCAAAGACCGCCGTTCAGTTGAACAAAAGCGTTCACGTCATTTACATTCTAGCTTCATCCTCGGGCTGAATGTTATGTAGACTGAGGGACTCAGAAGTTCTGCGCTCAAGGACACACAGTGTCCTTGATCGATGAAATTTGTTTGAAGTACCTTTGTTTGGTGATTGCAGGTCTTCTGACGGATGAAACCGGTGCACTGTGTGCAGATTTTGATATCTGAAGGCCATGACCTACGAGGATGGTTTCAAGCTCAGACACCCATGATGCACTCACATTCCGTGAAGTCTGTAAAAGTCTTGTTCCATTACCCAGTCGATGGTGTAGGTGAAAATGATCAGGAGAAAAAAGGGTATCACCGTCTTGGTGCAGCATACACTTCTAGTCATACATGGGGTTTCAAGCTTTGAATGCAGAACACTGCGACCTTATCGGGCTTACCAGCTTAGCTGATCCCCCGTAGTTTCTCATTGTTTTGCGCGGCGAATCGGTATTGAGTTAAAGGCTGAGCGAAATTCGATCAAGCTTGCTGCTAGTGGTCTTCGGTAATTCAACGTTCCACTAATTATATACAGACCGGACTTGACGAAGCGCTTTTGGCACGATGATGCGTCCAAATGTCATAGTAATTCATGTAGAAGGATTCTTGTGGGGGGGAGGTGACGCTGATTTCGAAGCAATTATTATGGGAACTGATCACCCCACACAGCAATCTAGACCCTGAGCCTGACGTGATTAGCACAAATCCGAATAAATAGGCGAACACCAGGAAAGTCATCAGACGAGGCTTGGCGTGTTGCAAAAAGGGTTCAAATAATAATTATTTAAAAAATTCCTTACCCGCAGTTTCACATTTGAGGGATTTCCAGCCTCATCCAGTGATATCCAAGTCCATCACCCTAGCATCTTATTGGAATGTCAAGGAAATGAAATGACCACTTGGCAACTTGGGCCATCACTCGTTTCTTAGAAGCGATAATACTCGTATGGGTTGCTAAAATGCTCGAAGAGCGCCTCAAGCCTGTTGGCCTCAGCCGGTTTCTCGTTTAGTTCATAAAAGGTGGCACCATGTAGACGAAGGCACTCGGAGTGGAACGATGCGAAAGTAGAGTCATGGGTATGAGTTTTGTTTAAACTAGCTGTGGCCCAGTGCAGAAACTAATATGATTCCTCGTGAATGTCCATGAAGTTTCATGATATTATTTAGTGGTGCAAGTGGTGGCGGAAGACCCTTCATTATCATGCCTTGGATTTGATACTCGACCACAAATTCGCACCTTACAGTAGAACCATTCTGTTGAGGGAGCGGTACTCACAAGATCATCGTCATCATCATCGTCAGCAGTAAGAAGCGCGAACTTATCGTACAGTGGTTGTAGCTTACCGATGGTTCGGGGAGGTGAGATAGGTAGCTGTGCATTGGAGGACCACCTCTGGTTTCGCCCATGAGGTAGGTAGCTGTGCATTGGAGGACCACCGCTGGTTTCGCCCTCTTCGGGGCTAACTAGGTAGGCACAGCCCTCGAGTTCCATCGACCTTGTGTTTTACTTGATACTTTTGTTTAACGCAACACTGTTTATAAAGATGGTGGAAGGTATTTCGACAGCCTACTACCGATTTCATCCTCTTTGACGCAATCGTCGAGCGTCCTTCATTGTTACTTTCTGCCTGAACATATGTCCCGATATAGGTGGAGATGTACGTATGTTTTTAATATTCCCCTTCTGAACCGAAGCAGGGCCACCTCATATATTAGTGGAAACCATAACCAAATGAATTCAATTTAAGATGAATGAATAATTCTGTATTAGGTCAAGAGTTTTCAGATTTGATCCAAACTACATAAATCAAGTGGTATAAGGAAAAGGTTTTAGTCCAGTTTCATTTGGTTGATGAACGTGTCAATGAGTGGCAGTTAATGAATCCAAACTAGGTTAAAAA